CCGATCTGACCTCCAGGTGGAGAAAGAAGCTGCTTTCTTGCCCTGGGTGGGGGGGTTGGGGGGGACATCACCGCACCCCCGAGACCTCTGGTGCAAAGAGGAGGGAGAGATGGAGCAATTTTGGGCTTAATTTTGCTGCTTTCTTCTTCCCCTCTTCAAGGAGAGGGGGGAAAGAGCCGCTCTTTGTCCCTACCACCCACAGCGACGTGTGGGGTTGACCCAGAGGGAAGGGGGGATTGTCCCCCCATCCTCACCCCAGCTCTTCTTGGGGGTCTGACCCCTTGGTGGCTTCTCCATCTCGCCTGCAGAGAGCCCACCTGGGCCAGGGCACCCGCACCAACATCTACGAGGGGGTGTTGACCGTCTGCGGCAGCGGCGGGGCCGAGGACGAAGCCGAATATTTCTCCACCGAGCAGAACAACAACAGCCGGGAGATGCACGTGGTCCTCAAAGTCCTGGACCCCAGCCATAGGGACATCGCCTTGGTGAGCCACCCAAAGGGGAGGTGGTGGGACCCATAGCGTTCCTCGGGGGTCGCTCGTTGGGACCATTGGTGTTTTGACACCTCTGGTGATGGAGATGGTGGGGTTGAGGGTGTCCTCAGCCCACCCCGACGTTGAGGGACGTGGTTTGGTGGTGGGTTTGGCGGCGTGAGGTCAACGGTTGGACTCGATGATCTTAAAAAAGTCTTTTCCAACCCTGACAATTCCATGATTTGATGATTCTTAAGTTCGTTGACGCGCCGGAGGGAGGGGATGCCATCCAGAGGGACCTGGAGAGGTGTGAACCTCAACAAAGCCATGTGTAAGGTCTTGCACGTGGCTCTGGACAATCCCAAGGCCAAATCCAGGCTTGGGGATGAAGAGCTGGAGAGCAGCCCTGAGGAGAAGGACTTGGGGGTGGTGTTGGGGGGTGAGAAGCTCCACATGAGACCAGAAAGTCCCTGGCAACCTGGGCTGTGTGCCCAGTGGCCAGCAGGGTGAAGGGAGAAGGATCTTCTGCCCCACTCTGGGGAGATGTCCCCTGTCTCTGGGGCCATCAGAAGGACATGGAGGTGTTGGAGTGGGGCCGGAGGAGGTCCTGGAGATGCTGGAGCCCCTCTGCTGGATGGGGGGGCTGAGAGAGTTGGGGGGAGTTCAGCCTGGAGAAGACCTTGGAGCCCCTTCAAGTCCCTCAAGGGGCTCCAGGAGAGATGGGGAGGGAGCAGGGATCAGGGAGAGGAGCCATGGGATGAGGAGGAACGGTTTTAAGCTGAAAAAGGGGAGATTTAGGGAGAAATTGTTGACTCTGAGGGTGGGGAGAGCCTGGCCCAGGTTGCCCCGAGAAGCTGTGGCTGCCCCATCCCTGGAGGGGTTCAAGGCCAAGGTTGGAGGGGGCTTGGAGCGACCTGCTCTGGTGGGACATATCTCGAATGGAGATTGATGGTCTCTAAGGTCCCTTCCCACCCAAACCCTTCCATGATTCCATGAGCAGGGCCATCTCCACCCAGCCCAGGTGGCTCCAAGCCCCGTCCAACCCGACCTTGAAGGTTTCCAGGGACGGGGCATCAAAGAGGGGAGATTAAGATGAGTTTGGGAAGAAATTCTTCCTTCTGAAGGTGGTGAGACCCTGGCCCAGGTTGCCCAGAGAAACTGTGGCTCCAGATCCTTCTCCTTGGGCTCCAGACCCTTCCCTTTGGGCTCCAAACCATCTCCTGGGTCTCCACACCCTTCTCCTTGGGCTCTTCATGCTTCTCCTCAGGCTCCAAGCCCTTCTCCTTGGACTCCAAGCCCTTCTCCTTGGACTCCAAGCCCTTCTCCTCGGGCTCCAGACCCTTCCTTTTGGGCTCCAAACCATCTCCTAGATCTCCACACCCTTCTCCTTGGGCTCCTCGTGCTTCTCCTTGGGCTCCAGACCCTTCCCTTTGGGCTCCAGACCCTTCCCTTTGGGCTCCAAACCATCTCCTGGGTCTCCAAACCCTTCTCCTTGGGCTCCAGACCCTTCTCTTTGGGCTCCACACCATCTCCTGGGTCTCCACACCCTTCTCCTGGGTCTCCACACCCTTCTCCTTGGGCTCCAGACCCTTCCCTTTGGGCTCCAGACCCTTCCCTTTGGGCTCCAGACCCTTCCCTTTGGGCTCCAAACCCTTCCCTTTGGGCTCCAAACCATCTCCTGGGTCTCCACACCCTTCTCCTTGGGCTCCAGACCCTTTCTTTTGGGCTCCAAACCATCTCCTGGGTCTCCACACCCTTCTCCTTGGGCTCCAGACCCTTCCTTTTGGGCTCCAAACCATCTCCTGGGTCTCCACACCCTTCTCCTTGGGCTCCTTGTGCTTCTCCTCAGGCTCCAAACCCTTCTCCTCGGGCTCCAGACCCTTCCTTTTGGGCTCCAAACCATCTCCTGGGTCTCCACACCCTTCTCCTTGGGCTCCAGACCCTTCCCTTTGGGCTCCAAACCATCTCCTGGGTCTCCACACCCTTCTCCTTGGGCTCCAGACCCTTCCTTTTGGGCTCCAAACCATCTCCTGGGTCTCCACACCCTTCTCCTTGGGCTCCTCATGCTTCTCCTCAGGCTCCAAGTCCTTCTCATCGGCCTCCAGACCCTTCTCCTTGATCTCCAGACCCTTCTCCTTGATCTCCAGACCCCTCACCAGCTCCTTACCCTTCTCTGGCTGCCCCATAGACCCCAAACCCTCCTCCAAGCCCCATCTCAGGGTTCTCCTAGAGACCATCCTCCTTCCTGACCCCAACTCTCCTTTCTCTCCTCTCCCCACAGGCGTTCTTCGAGACGGCCAGCCTGATGAGCCAGGTGTCCCACGTCCACTTGGCCTTCGTCCACGGAGTCTGCGTGCGAGGCTCCGAGAGTGAGTTTTTTGGGGGAGTCTTTTCCCTCTTTTCCCTCCCCATTTTTCCACAACCCACCCCTTTTTTTCCCCCTGGCTCCGGGATGGAGCTGAGGAGAAATATCTCCCTACCTTTCTCCAGACATCATGGTGGAAGAATTCGTGGAACATGGACCTCTGGATGTCCTGCTGAGGAAGGAGAAAGGCCGGGTCACCGTGGGCTGGAAAATCACCGTGGCCAAGCAGTTGGCCAGTGCCTTGAGCTACCTGGTAATGGGGCTGGGAGGGAGCCAGGGGATTTTGGGGCAAGGGGATCGTGCTGGAGATCACCTCCGAGCTCCACTTCCACCCCTGGGTCCTTCTCCTTGGGCTCCAGAGCCTTCTCCTTGGGTTCCAACCCTTCTCAGGCTTCAGACCCTTCTCCTTGGGCTCCAGACCCTTCTCTTTGGGCTCCAGACCCTTCTCTTTGGGCTCCAGACCCTTCTCCTCGGGTTTCAAACTCTTCTTGGGCTCCAGACCCTTCTCCTTGGGCTCCAGACCCTTCTCCTCGGGCTCCACAACCTTCTTTTTTGGGTCCAGACCCTTCTCCTTGTTCTCCAGACCCTCCTTCCTGGGCTCCAACCCTTCTCAGGCTTCAGACCCTTCTCCTTGTTCCCCAGACCCTCCTTCCTGGGCTCCAGACCTTTCTCCTTGGGCTCCACCACCTTCTCCTTTGGCTCCACAACCTTCTCCTTTGGCTCCACAACCTTCTCCTCGGGCTCCAGACCCTTCTCCTCGGGTTTCAAACTCTCCTTGGGCTCCAGACCCTTCTCCTTGGGCTCCACAACCTTCTCTTTGGGCTCCAGACCCTTCTCCTTGTTCTCCAGACCCTTCTCCTTGTTCTCCAGACCCTCCTTCCTGGGCTCCAGACCCTTCTCTTTGGGCTCCAGACCCTTCTCCTCAGGCTCCACAACCTTCTCTCAGGCTCCAGACCCTTCTCCTTGTGCTCCACAACCTTCTCCTTGGGCTCCAGACCTTTCTCCTTTGGCTCCTGCTCCAGACCCTTTCCTTGGGTTTCAAACTCTCCTTGGGCTCCACAACCTTCTCCTTGGGCTCCACAACCTTCTCCTTGGGCTCCACAACCTTCTCTTTGGGGTCCACACCCTTCTCCTTGTTCTCCAGACCCCTCACCAGCTCCGTTGCCCTTATTGTCATGAGGGGCCCAAAACTGGCCACAGAACTCAAAGTGGGGCCTCCCCAGTGCCCAGTACGGGGTGGGGGACCATCACTGCCCTGGTCCTACTGGCCACATTCTTCCTGACACATGCCATGCTGGTGGCCTTTTCTTGTCATGAGGAGCCCAGAACTGGCCACAGAACTCAAAGTGGGGCCTCCCCAGTGCCCAGTACGGGGTGGGGGACCATCACTGCCCTGGTCCTACTGGCCACATTCTTCCTGACACATGCCAAGGCTCCACAACCTTCTCCTTTGGCTCCAGACCCTCCTTCCTGGGCTCCAGACCTTTCTCCTTGGGCTCCACAACCTTCTCCTTGTGCTCCAGACCCTTTCCTTGGGTTTCAAACTCTCCTTGGGCTCCACAACCTTCTCCTTGGGCTCCACAACCTTCTCCTTGGGCTCCACAACCTTCTCTTTGGGCTGCTGGCTTGTATTCAACTGGTTGTTGACCAACACCCCCAGCTCCTTCTCCAGCTTGTCCAGATCCCTCTGTAGATCCATCCTACCCTCCAGCAGGTCAACGCTCCTCCCTTAATTGGGTGTCATCCCAAATTTTTTGAGGCCTTCGGGGCTGAGAAGAGCTGCAGAGGAGACAGTTGCCCTCTGGGCTCACTGGGCTGGTGGCCAGCAGCTTGGGCAACCTGGCTGGTTGCCCAGGAGGGCACACACCCAGCGTTGGGTGATCCTCCCCGTTGGGTGATGATCCTCCCCGTTGGGTGATGATCCTCCCCGTTGGCTGATCCTCCCCATCATCGTTTCTTCCTTCCCCTCGGGGTTGGACTTTGCGCGAAGGGCTAACGAGCCAAGGAGGTGACGTGGGTAATTAAGAGCCAGGAGTCCTGCTTTTTTGGATTTATTTGGGTTTTTTTGGGGACTTTCCACCCTGATTTTCCTTCTCCTCCTCGTTGTCTCAGGAGGATAAAAACCTGGTCCACGGCAACGTGTGCGCCAAGAACATCCTGTTGGCCAGGAAAGGGCTGGAAGAAGGATCCGTGCCTTTCGTCAAGCTCAGCGACCCCGGCGTCAGCTTCACGGTGCTCTCTCGAGAAGGTACTGCCTCATCCCATCTTCAATATGTCCATCAAGGACCCGGGGGAAGGGGTGGAATGTCCCCTCAAGCACCTTTCGTGGTGGCACCGAACTGGGAGGGGTGGGTGACCCAGCAGAAGGAGGTGCCACCATCCAACGAGACCTGGACGGGCTGGAGGGTTGGGTTGAGAGGAACATGATGAAGTTCCACCAAAGAACCTTGATGAAGGTCCACCAAGGGCAAGTGGAGGGTGCTGCAACCTGGGGGAAGGGGTGGAATGTCCCCTCGTGCACCTTTGCTGGTGGCACCCAACTGGGAGGGGTGGGTGACCCAGCAGAAGGAGGTGCCACCATCCAACGAGACCTGGACGGGCTGGAGGGTTGGGTTGAGAGGAACATGATGAAGTTCCACCAAAGAACCTTGATGAAGGTCCACCAAGGGCAAGTGGAGGGTGCTGCTCCTGGGGAGGAATAACCCCCTGCCCCGGGACAGGTTGGGGGTGGCTTCCAGAAGGTGGCACTGGGAGGGGTGGCTACCACAGCAGAAGGCTGGGCCACCAGCCAGCGAGAGCTGGACAGGCTGGAGAGTTGGGCAGAGAGGAACCTGATGAAGTTCCACCAAGGGCAAGTGGAGGGTGCTGCACTTGGGGAGGAACAACCCCCTGCCCCCATAGAGCTTGGGGGTGCCCTGCTGGGGAGCAGCTCTGAGGAGAAATACCTGGGAGTCCTGGGGGACAACAGGATGTCCACGAGCGACCAACGTGCCCCGGTGGCCAAGAAGGCTGATGGTCATCAGGAAGAGTGTGGAGAACCTCAAGGGAGGTCATCCTCCCTCTCTGCTCTGCCCCATCTGGAGCACTGGGACCAGTTGTGGGCTCCCCAGTTCCAGAAGGAGAGGGAACTGCTGGAGAGGGTCCAGCAAAGGGCTGTGAGGATGATGAGGGGCTGGAGCATCTCTCTGCTGAGGAAAGGCTGAGGGACTTGGGGCTTTGGAGTCTGGAGAAGATTGAGGGGGGATCTCCTGGTTGGTGAGTGTCAGGAGGATGGAGCCAGTCTCTTCCCAGTGGTTCCCAGTGACAGGACAAGAGGGAACGGGCACAAACTGGGAGATGAGAAGTTCCATCTCAACATGAGGAGGAACTTCTCCATTTTGAGGGTGGCAGAGCCCTGGGAGAGGCTGCCCAGAGAGGTGGGGGGGGTCTCCTTCTCTGGAGACATCCCAACCCCCCCTGGATGAGACCCTGTGGGACCTGCTCTGGCCGGGGGGGGTTGGAGGAGATGATCTCCAGAAGGTCCCTTCCCACCTCATTCTGTCATTCCATGATCCCACTCTCTTCCGAGCTAAAATTAGCTGGTTTTTTCCCCCCTGGGAAGCCCAAGGGGGGAAATTTTGGGGAATCCCATCAACCCAGGAAGCTCATAAACGTCGTGGTTGCCCTTGAGCTGCTTTTGACCACCTTTTCCTTCCTTTTCCCCCCTTAATTTTTGCCAAAAATGGCGTTTTGAAGGCCGGAACCTCCGATTTTTGGTGCCGGTGGCCATTTTTACCCTCAAAACTGCTTTCGGAGAGTCTCTTTTTTTTTTTTTTCTTTTCCTGGTTGTATCCTCAGCCTGGCCATGTATTTTTTTTGGCTTTTTCCCCCCTCTTTCTCTCCCCAAGAGCGTGTGGATCGTATTCCCTGGATCGCCCCGGAATGTATCCGGGATACGGGGAACCTCAGCACGGCCGCCGACAAGTGGAGTTTTGGGACCACTTTGCTGGAAATCTGCTTCGACGCCGACGTCCCCCTCAAGGAACGTACCCCATCCGAGGTGAATTGTCTTCTCCTCCCTTCCCTCCTTTCCCCCGTCTCTTCCCTCCTTCCCTGTGGATTCAAGACCCATGGTTTTTGGGGGGTTTTTTTGGGGTGGTTTCTCTTAGAAAGAGCGTTTCTACGAGAAGAGGCATCGCCTGCCTGAACCGTCCTGCAAGGAATTGGGGAGTCTGGTCTGTGGGTGCCTGAATTACACCCCCGGGGAACGTCCCTCCTTCCGGACCATCCTGAGGGATCTCACCCAGCTTCAGCCCCACAGTGAGGATTTGGGGGTGTCCCCGTGCCCTTGGGGGAGGTTTTTTTGGGGGGGGTTGGGTGAATTCTCCCCCCACCCCTAAATCCGGATTGGGGGTGGTTGCAGAGAGAGTTTGGTCCTGGATGAGGTGGGTGGAGGGGGGGGAAAAGGGATGAGAAGGGGGAAAAAGGGATGAGAAGGGGGAAAAAGGTTTAGGAGAAGGGATAAAAAGGTTTAGGAAAGGGCAGGAAGGTTTAGGGAAAAGGGAAAAAGGTTTAGGGAAAGGGAAAAAAAGTTTAGGGAAAGGGGAAAAAAGTTTAGGGAAAGGGGAAAAAGATTTAGAGAAAGGGATAAAAAGGAAAAAGAAGTTTAGGGAAAGGGAAAAAAGTTTAGGGAAAGGGGAAAAAAGTTTAGGGAAAGGAGCAGAAAGTTTTAGGGAAAGGGCAAAAAAAGTTTAGGGAAAGGGCAAAAAAGGTTTAGGGAAAGGGCAAAAAAGTTTAGGGAAAGGGGAAAAAGGTTTAGGGAAAGGGCAGAAACGTTTAGGGATGAGGTGGGTGGAGGGGGGGGAAAAGGGATGAGAAGGGGGAAAAAGGGATGAGAAGGGGGAAAAAGGTTTAGGAGAAGGGATAAAAAGGTTTAGGAAAGGGCAGGAAGGTTTAGGGAAAAGGGAAAAAGGTTTAGGGAAAGGGAAAAAAAGTTTAGGGAAAGGGGAAAAAAGTTTAGGGAAAGGGGAAAAAGATTTAGAGAAAGGGATAAAAAGGAAAAAGAAGTTTAGGGAAAGGGAAAAAAGTTTAGGGAAAGGGGAAAAAAGTTTAGGGAAAGGAGCAGAAAGTTTTAGGGAAAGGGCAAAAAAAGTTTAGGGAAAGGGCAAAAAAGGTTTAGGGAAAGGGCAAAAAAGTTTAGGGAAAGGGGAAAAAGGTTTAGGGAAAGGGCAGAAACGTTTAGGGAAAGGGGGAAAAGGGGAAAAAGTTTAGGGAAAGGGGAAAAAGGTTTAGGGAAAGGGGAAAAAAGTTTAGGGAAAGGGGAAAAAGGTTTAGGGAAAGGGATAAAAAGGTTTAGGGAAAGGAAAAAAAGGTTTAGGGAAAGGGAAGAAAGGTTTAGGGAAAGGGGAAAAAAGTTTAGGGAAAGGGGAAAAAGATTTAGAGAAAGGGATAAAAAGGAAAAAGAAGTTTAGGGAAAGGGAAAAAAGTTTAGGGAAAGGGATAAAAAGGTTTAGGGAAAGGAGCAGAAAGTTTTAGGGAAAGGGCAAAAAAAGTTTAGGGAAAGGGCAAAAAAGGTTTAGGGAAAGGGCAAAAAAGTTTAGGGAAAGGGAAAAAAAGGTTTAGGGAAAGGGGAAAAAGGTTTAGGGAAAGGGCAGAAACGTTTAGGGAAAGGGGAAAAAAGGTTTAGGGAAAGGGGAAAAAAGGTTTAGGGAAAGGGGAAAGAAAAGTTTAGGGAAAGGGGAAGAAAAGTTTAGGGAAAGGGGAAAAAAGGTTTAGGGAAAGGGAAAAAAGGTTTAGGGAAAGGGAAGAAAGGTTTAGGGAAAGGGGAAAAAAGTTTAGGGAAAGGGGAAAAAGATTTAGAGAAAGGGATAAAAAGGAAAAAGAAGTTTAGGGAAAGGGAAAAAAGTTTAGGGAAAGGGATAAAAAGGTTTAGGGAAAGGAGCAGAAAGTTTTAGGGAAAGGGCAAAAAAAGTTTAGGGAAAGGGCAAAAAAGGTTTAGGGAAAGGGCAAAAAAGTTTAGGGAAAGGGAAAAAAAGGTTTAGGGAAAGGGGAAAAAGGTTTAGGGAAAGGGCAGAAACGTTTAGGGAAAGGGGAAAAAAGGTTTAGGGAAAGGGGAAAAAAGGTTTAGGGAAAGGGGAAAGAAAAGTTTAGGGAAAGGGGAAGAAAAGTTTAGGGAAAGGGGAAAAAAGGTTTAGGGAAAGGGGGAAAAAGGTTTATGGAAAGGGGTAAAGAAGTTTAGGGAAAGGGGGAAAAAAGTTCAGGGAAAGAAATAAAAAGGTTTAGGGAAAGGGGTAAAAGGTTTAGGAAAGGGATAAAAAGGTTTAGAAAAAGGGCAGAAAGGTTTAAGGAAAGGGAAAAAAAAGTTTAGGGAAAGGGATAAAAAGGTTTAGGGAAAGGGCAAAAAAGTTTAGGGAAAGGGAAAAAAAGGTTTAGGGAAAGGGGAAAAAGGTTTAGGGAAAGGGCAGAAACGTTTAGGGAAAGGGGAAAAAAGGTTTAGGGAAAGGGGAAAAAAGGTTTAGGGAAAGGGGAAAGAAAAGTTTAGGGAAAGGGGAAGAAAAGTTTAGGGAAAGGGGAAAAAAGGTTTAGGGAAAGGGGGAAAAAGGTTTATGGAAAGGGGTAAAGAAGTTTAGGGAAAGGGGGAAAAAAGTTCAGGGAAAGAAATAAAAAGGTTTAGGGAAAGGGGTAAAAGGTTTAGGAAAGGGATAAAAAGGTTTAGAAAAAGGGCAGAAAGGTTTAAGGAAAGGGAAAAAAAAGTTTAGGGAAAGGGATAAAAAGGTTTAGGGAAAGGGCAAAAAAGTTTAGGGAAAGGGGAAAAAGATTTAGAGAAAGGGATAAAAAGGAAAAAGAAGTTTAGGGAAAGGGAAAAAAGTTTAGGGAAAGGGATAAAAAGGTTTAGGGAAAGGAGCAGAAAGTTTTAGGGAAAGGGGAAAAAAGGTTTAGGGAAAGGGAAAAAAGTTTAGGGAAAGGGAAAAAAAAGTTTAGGGAAAGGGCAAAAAAGTTTAGGGAAAGGGGAAAATGGTTTAGGGAAAGGGGGAAAAGGGTTAGGGAAAGGGGTAAAAAAGGTTTAGGGAAAGGGAAAAAAAGGTTTAGGAAAGGGGAAAAAGGTTTAGGGAAAGAGATAAAAGGTTTAGGGAAAGGGAAAAAAGGTTTAGGGAAAGGGCAGAAAAGTTTAAGGAAAAGCAGAAGAGGCAAAAAGGGGAAAAGAAAAGGAGACAGAAGAGGGGCAGAAAGGGGACAAAAAAGGGGCAAAAGGGAGGGGAAGAAAAGGGGGAGAGAAAAAGGGACCAAGAAAGGAAAAAAGGGAAAAGGAAAGGCAAAAAAAAAGGGAAAGGGAGGGGAAAAAGGGAAGAGAAAAGGCAAAAAGGGGAGGGGAAAAAGGGAAAAGAAAATGCAAAAAAGGGAAGGGGAAAAGGGAAAAGAAAAGGCAAAAAAGGGAGGGGAGAAAGGGAAAAGAAAAGGCAAAAAAGGGAGGGGAGAAAGGGAAAGAAGAGGCAAAAAAAGGGAGAAAAGGGGAAGGAAAAGGGGAAAAGGCAAAAAAAGGGGGGAAAGGGAGGGGGAAAAAGAAAAGAAAAGGCAAAAAGTGGAGGGGAATGGAAAAGGGGAAAAAAAAGAGGGAAAGGGGAGGAAAAAAGGGGAAAGAAGAGGCGAAAAAAAAGAGGGAAAGGGGAGGAAAAAAGGGGAAAAAAGAGGCAAAAAAAAAGGGAGGAAAAGGGAGGGGAAAAAATGGAGAAGAAAAGGGAAAAAAAGGGAAAAGGAAAGGCAAAAAAAGGGGGAAATGGAGGGGAAAAAGGCAAAGAAGAGGCAAAAAAGGGGGGAAAAGAAGGGAAAAAAGGGAAAGAAGAGGCAAAAAAGGGGGGAAAAGAAGGGAAAAAAGGGAAAGAAGAGGCAAAACTCGTCTCCCCCTCACCTTCCAGACCTGGTGGACGTCACCTCAGTGAGCCCCGACTGCCCCGTCTCCGACCCCACCGTCTTCCAGAAGCGGTACCTGAAAAAGATCCGGGAGCTGGGGGAGGTATGAGCCCCAAAAACCCATTTTTTGGGGGGGAGAAGGGGGGTTCTCACCTAAATTTTGGTGAAAAACTGCCTGAAACGAGCCTTGGGGTCCACCTTCAGGCTCCTGGTTGGGATGATGGTGGTGATGATGGTCTGGTGGGCGAGTTGCTCCATCAGGGTGTGTTTGTTTGAGGGGTGGGAGCAAAAAGGGAGGTGAGAACCCCCAAAAATCACCGTTTCTGCGTTCCCCAAGTTGGGGGTCGTCCCCAAAATTCACCCCCTAAAGGGGGCAGAGCCCCCATCCCTGGAGGGACCTAAAGGAGTTGGCATTTGGGGACACGCTTTAGTGCTCAACGATGGGACTCGATGACCTTAAGGGTCTTTCCCAACCTCAAGGATTCCCTGATTCCCCAATTCTCTGAGTTCTAGCCCAAAAAGCCAATCAACACACGATGGAAAGGCCAACGAGGGGAGGACACGAAGAGGTGGCACTTGGGGACAGACTTTAGTGCTGGGCTTAATTTGGGCTCAACGATGGGACTCGATGACCTTAAGGGTCTTTCCCAACCTCAAGGATTCCCTGATTCCATGATTTCCTGACTCTACAATTACCCAATTCTCTGATTTCTAGCCCAAAAAGCCAATCAACCCATGATGGAAAGGCCAATGAGGGGAGGACACGAAGAGGTGGCACTTGGGGACAGACTTTAGTGCTGGGCTTAATTTGGGCTCAACGATGGGACTCGATGACCTTAAGGGTCTTTCCCACCTCAACTATTCCCTGATCCCATGATTTCTTGACTCCACAATTCCCCAATTCTCTGATTTCTGGCCCAAAAAGCCAATCAACAGACGATGGAAAGGCCAACGAGGGGAGGACACGAAGAGGTGGCACTTGGGGACACCCTTTAGTGCTGGGCTTAATTTTGGCTCAACGATGGGACTCGATGACCTTAAGGGTCTTTCCCACCTCAATTGGATTCTCCAATTCCACAATTCCCCAATTCTCTGATTTCTAGCCCCAAAAGCCAATCAACAGATGATGGAAAGGCCAACGATGGGAGGACGTGAAGAGGTGGCACTTGGGGACACGCTTTAGTGCTAGAGTTGGGAATTTTAGCTCAATTCCTGGACTTGATGACCCCCTCGTAGCAGGTTTTTGGGGTCCCTCTTTGTCTCCTTGGTTGAACCTCTTCCCAAACCCATTTCCAAAGATATTTTGGACGAGGCTCCAAAAGATCTTTTCTTTTTAATTCTTTTTCATCGAGGACTTTCCTTCTGACCCAGAAGTTTATTGTCCCCACCTTGGAAACTTCCAGAGGGGGTGGGTTTATTTTAGAGGGTGTGGTGGAAAGTGATAATTTTGGGATTTCTGTCCTCCTTCTCCTCTTCTTCTTCCTCCTCCTTCTCCTTTTCTCCTCTTCCTCCTCCTCCTCATCCTCCTTTTCTCCTCTTCCTCCTCCTCCTTGAGGTGGCACTTGGGGACACCCTTTAGTGCTGGGCTTAATTTTGGCTCAACGATGGGACTCGATGACCTTAAGGGTCTTTCCCACCTCAATTGGATTCTCCAATTCCACAATTCCCCAATTCTCTGATTTCTAGCCCCAAAAGCCAATCAACCCACGATGGAAAGGCCAACGATGGGAGGACGTGAAGAGGTGGCACTTGGGGACACGCTTTAGTGCTAGAGTTGGGAATTTTAGCTCAATTCCTGGACTTGATGACCCCCTCGTAGCAGGTTTTTGGGGTCCCTCTTTGTCTCCTTGGTTGAACCTCTTCCCAAACCCATTTCCAAAGATATTTTGGACGAGGCTCCAAAAGATCTTTTCTTTTTAATTCTTTTTCACCGAGGACTTTCCTTCTGACCCAGAAGTTTATTGTCCCCCCTCTTGGAAACTTCCAGAGGGGTTGAGGAAAGTGAGAAATTTGGGATTTCTGATTCCATGCCTTATTTTTTTGGGTTTTTTTCTTTGACAGGGTCACTTTGGGACCTTGGAAACTTCCAGAGGGGTTGGTTTTTTTTCAGAGGGGGTTGAGGAAAGTGAGAAATTTGGGATTTCTGATTCCATGCCTTATTTTTTTGGGTTTTTTTCTTTGACAGGGTCACTTTGGGAAGGTGAGCCTTTATTGCTACGACCCCACCAACGACGGGACGGGGGAGATGGTGGCCGTCAAGTCCCTCAAGTCCGGGTGCAGCCAACAGCTCCTCACCAGCTGGAAGAAGGAGATTGAGATCCTCAAGACCCTCTACCACGAGAACATCGTCAAATACAAGGGTTGCTGCAGCGAGCAGGGTAGGGGACAACGTGGTGGGGGACACGTGGTGGCTTTGGGGTGGCATCACCCCCCTGGTTGTCACCGTCCCTCCCCGGTTGGCCAACACCGAGGGTTTCCACCCGGCGTCGCCGCGGAGAAGCTCAAAACCCAATTCCTTGAGGGTTTGTTTATTTTTTGGCAGTTGGTTGCGTGGGGGGATCTTCTTCTCGGGGTTTGGGGGTGTCTCTGGGTTGTGGCCCTTCTTGCCGTGAGGGTCACATGCCACCCTCCTCCTCCTTCTCCTCTTCTGCCTCCTCCTCCTTCTCCTCTTCTGCCTCCTCCTCCTTCTCCTCTTCTGCCTCCTCCTCCTTCTCCTCTTCTGCCTCCTCCTCCTTCTCCTCTTCTGCCTCCTCCTCCTTCTCCTCTTCTGCCTCCTCCTCCTTCTCCTCTTCTGCCTCCTCCTCCTTCTCCTCTTCTGCCTCCTCCTCCTTCTCCTCTTCTGCCTCCTCCTCCTTCTCCTCTTCTGCCTCCTCCTCCTTCTCCTCTTCTGCCTCCTCCTCCTTCTCCTCTTCTGCCTCCTCCTCCTTCTCCTCTTCTGCCTCCTCCTCCTTCTCCTCTTCTGCCTCCTCCTCCTTCTCCTCTTCTGCCTCCTCCTCCTTCTCCTCTTCTGCCTCCTCCTCCTTCTCCTCTTCTGCCTCCTCCTCCTTCTCCTCTTCTGCCTCCTCCTCCTTCTCCTCTTCTGCCTCCTCCTCCTTCTCCTCTTCTGCCTCCTCCTCCTTCTCCTCTTCTGCCTCCTCCTCCTTCTCCTCTTCTGCCTCCTCCTCCTTCTCCTCTTCTGCCTCCTCCTCCTTCTCCTCTTCTGCCTCCTCCTCCTTCTCCTCTTCTGCCTCCTCCTCCTTCTCCTCTTCTGCCTCCTCCTCCTTCTCCTCTTCTGCCTCCTCCTCCTTCTCCTCTTCTGCCTCCTCCTCCTTCTCCTCTTCTGCCTCCTCCTCCTTCTCCTCTTCTGCCTCCTCCTCCTTCTCCTCTTCTGCCTCCTCCTCCTTCTCCTCTTCTGCCTCCTCCTCCTTCTCCTCTTCTGCCTCCTCCTCCTTCTCCTCTTCTGCCTCCTCCTCCTTCTCCTCTTCTGCCTCCTCCTCCTTCTCCTCTTCTGCCTCCTCCTCCTTCTCCTCTTCTGCCTCCTCCTCCTTCTCCTCTTCTGCCTCCTCCTCCTTCTCCTCTTCTGCCTCCTCCTCCTTCTCCTCTTCTGCCTCCTCCTCCTTCTCCTCTTCTGCCTCCTCCTCCTTCTCCTCTTCTGCCTCCTCCTCCTTCTCCTCTTCTGCCTCCTCCTCCTTCTCCTCTTCTGCCTCCTCCTCCTTCTCCTCTTCTGCCTCCTCCTCCTTCTCCTCTTCTGCCTCCTCCTCCTTCTCCTCTTCTGCCTCCTCCTCCTTCTCCTCTTCTGCCTCCTCCTCCTTCTCCTCTTCTGCCTCCTCCTCCTTCTCCTCTTCTGCCTCCTCCTCCTTCTCCTCTTCTGCCTCCTCCTCCTTCTCCTCTTCTGCCTCCTCCTCCTTCTCCTCTTCTGCCTCCTCCTCCTTCTCCTCTTCTGCCTCCTCCTCCTTCTCCTCTTCTGCCTCCTCCTCCTTCTCCTCTTCTGCCTCCTCCTCCTTCTCCTCTTCTGCCTCCTCCTCCTTCTCCTCTTCTGCCTCCTCCTCCTTCTCCTCTTCTGCCTCCTCCTCCTTCTCCTCTTCTGCCTCCTCCTCCTTCTCCTCTTCTGCCTCCTCCTCCTTCTCCTCTTCTGCCTCCTCCTCCTTCTCCTCTTCTGCCTCCTCCTCCTTCTCCTCTTCTGCCTCCTCCTCCTTCTCCTCTTCTGCCTCCTCCTCCTTCTCCTCTTCTTCCTCCTCCTCCTTTGCCTACTCCTTCTCCTCCTTCTCCTCTTCTTCCTCCTCCTCCTCCTCCTCCTCCTCTTCTTCTCCTCTTCCTCCTCCTTCTCCTCCTTTTCTCCTCTTCCTCCTCCTCCTTTGCCTACTCCTTCTCCTCCTTCTCCTCTTCTTCCTCCTCCTCCTCCTCCTCCTCCTCTTCTTCTCCTCTTCCTCCTCCTTCTCCTCCTTTTCTCCTCTTCCTCCTCCTCCTTTGCCTACTCCTTCTCCTCCTTCTCCTCTTCTTCCTCCTCCTCCTCCTCCTCCTCCTCTTCTTCTCCTCTTCCTCCTCCTTCTCCTCCTTTTCTCCTCTTCCTCCTCCTCCTTTGCCTACTCCTTCTCCTCCTTCTCCTCTTCTTCCTCCTCCTCCTCCTCCTCCTCCTCTTCTTCTCCTCTTCCTCCTCCTTCTCCTCCTTTTCTCCTCTTCCTCCTCCTCCTTTGCCTACTCCTTCTCCTCCTTCTCCTCTTCTTCCTCCTCCTCCTCCTCCTCCTCCTCTTCTTCTCCTCTTCCTCCTCCTTCTCCTCCTTTTCTCCTCTTCCTCCTCCTCCTTTGCCTACTCCTTCTCCTCCTTCTCCTCTTCTTCCTCCTCCTCCTCCTCCTCCTCCTCTTCTTCTCCTCTTCCTCCTCCTTCTCCTCCTTTTCTCCTCTTCCTCCTCCTCCTTTGCCTACTCCTTCTCCTCCTTCTCCTCTTCTTCCTCCTCCTCCTCCTCCTCCTCCTCTTCTTCTCCTCTTCCTCCTCCTTCTCCTCCTTTTCTCCTCTTCCTCCTCCTCCTTTGCCTACTCCTTCTCCTCCTTCTCCTCTTCTTCCTCCTCCTCCTCCTCCTCCTCCTCTTCTTCTCCTCTTCCTCCTCCTTCTCCTCCTTTTCTCCTCTTCCTCCTCCTCCTTTGCCTACTCCTTCTCCTCCTTCTCCTCTTCTTCCTCCTCCTCCTTTTCTCCTCTTCTTCCTCCTTCTCCTCATCCTCCTTTTCTCCTCCTCTTCCTCCTCCTTCTCCTCATTTTCCTCCTCCTTCTCCTCCTTTTCTCCTCTTCCTCCTCCTCCTTTGCCTACTCCTTCTCCTCCTTCTCCTCCTTCTCCTCCTTCTCCTCCTTCTCCTCCTTCTCCTCCTTCTCCTCCTTCTCCTCCTTCTCCTCCACAGCAGTGCAGTGTTTGCAATGTGAAACATAGCAATGTGAAAATTTCAGTTTACGCAAAATATTGACCACAACTTTGGCTTTCTTCTTTTTTTTTTGTTTGCCATTGGGACTGGCTGTGCTGGAGGAACAGTGTTTGTCCCTTTGAGGAGCACC